TTACCGAATCATTGGTTCTTTTGAATACGTGCCACTTAAGTAGATCAATGCCAATGGTTTGTTCAATATAACAACTTCATGCTTATCAGGAACGGCTTTTCAAAAGCTAGTACTCTTCATTCAGCGTGCTGGTGTAATTGTCTAAGAGGTCTGTTTCGAACTCCAGGGGTGCCGAGTTCCATCCCGCAGGAAGGCAATCTTTGTGTTATTAACTAATTATCTTGAGCAAGGAATATACCACACTTTGCTTGAGACCGGGGTTGTTCACTCAGTAGGGTGTCGAACTCAGAACCGATAGGTCCTGAATTTAAGCCCAGGTCAGGGTCACTCGTTCTTTCTAATTCCGTGGTTGATAAATGAGTACACTTTACGGGAAAGAAACAGACTACGGGCTACGTTTCTGTGAAAAATAAGGCAAATACATGTCACTCCCAGCTAATGGCGTAATGGAGACCAGCACCACCCCGTCAACTTCATGAAAATAAATGAAATGGCCCAATTACAAAAGTTAAGAAAAACCGACATTTCAACCATCTCTTTATACGTTTGCACAGATCTAAAGATATGTATTCGTACGCCGAAATATGTGAACTGACGCACCTCCTTTAAAATCAGATTTTTCGTACTACACAGCCAAAACAGAGGCTAGGGACTAGTGACATTACCTCGAGCCGAAAATTTCGAGGGCAGTCAATTGAAGCAACTGGAAATGATGAAAAACGCACATAAATTGAAGACTCGTGTTTGACAATTTTAACAGAAAGTAAATCTTCATGTTATGTGCCCCTAGGGGTAAGCAACTGACACCTTAGGCTCTTCGTGCACACCTTACTTAAATCCAAAAAATAATAAGTGGTTGAGATGGCATAAAACCGACTGACGTAACAAATCTACAGTAATTATCAATTTAGACGCTTCAAAAAACAAGAAAGTGCTTGCCCGACGTGAGAGAATGTTACATAATTTCGGCCATTCATGCACCAAAGGTCGCATTTTTGCACCTGCGCTTTGCCCTTCCAAATGATACGGTAGGTTATTGATTAATAGTGTTTATATCGTTGTCTCGAATGCAAAATGGCGGCAAGACACAGAAACGTGTAACTTCGATAGATGCCTCAAGGATTCTGTGCAACTTTACTGAGAAAGGCCTTATAAATTTTCAAAACAAGTGAAAAACAGCAGCTGACAGTACGAGCAACCGAATCATTCAGAATCAAGTTCACTCAGGGATTCAAGAATCACGTCACTTCCTTCCTCTTCAGTGACGTTACAGTCATCATTTTCTTCAACACTACTGTCGTCGACTACATGTTCTTCATCAATGCTGTCACCACCGCCATCTGTCGTCCCTGACTTGGCTTTCGCTATATTATTTAACAGTGCTGCCCAGAAGAACGATGAGTCGAATGCCAGCTGAAAAAACTCATTTTATTTAATATATCAAAACTATACTCGAAACCTCCAAAGTACGAAACCATCTCCTCTTCTCGACGCGTTT